TTCTTTTTTTTTCCCGTTTTTCCTGTGCTCTTTCGTTGCGACATTCTTTACTGTTTTAATGGTTTTTTTTCTTTTTTTTCTTTTTTGGGTTTCCATCATTCCAGGTCTCTACCCCCACCGTCGAAAAAATTCCCATTTTACGCAATGATCCGCGTTATTGCCTATTTTCCGAGGTTTTTTTTATTATTATTATTATTATTATTATTATTATTTCTCGGAGGTAGGTTGATTGACTAAATCGGTCATCCTTCTTCCCACATAATGTGTCTAGGTGAGTGATAGAAATAGCAGAGTCAGTCAAGACCGACTGATGCCCCCAACACATAGCCGCGCTTACGCAGCCAATTTTAAAATATAAGTGAAAAAATGATCTCGAAAAATCCAAGTACACAACAATGAAGCATATTTTTCCATAGCAAGTATACAACAATGGGCCTCGCTGCACTACTCTTGAAATGCACAAAAGACAAAAATCATTTCGCTGTATCTTTCCATGTTCTAGCGGAAGATTCACTCTCGTTTTGCACCTTTCAAGAGTAGTGCAGCGAGGCCCAATGTCTAGATGGCTTACACAAGTACCTGTTAATCAAGACGTCCCGGCGTAAAATCCTCATGGAACCAAAATAAATCCTCATGGAACCAAAATTAACATGTCTACTGTTGTCGCCAGCACTCCACGAGGTTCCTTCCATCTATTGGTGGGGAGCATCACCGGCTGGAAACCGGGTCCAGCGTCCCTGAACACCCCTACCATCTCTTCCCCCGAACACAACGCATCCTCATTTTGGCTGTTTCTGGCCGGAAATATGGCTTGTATACATTCATTTTTAGGCTGCGTTATGTTCGTGGGAAGACGGTATCATCATTACCCCGGGTGTGTCGGATCCGCCGCGACATAGCTGCGGGTTGTTGTTCTTGACCTTCGATGTACTTCAAGTTTTTTCTGAGTTTTTTTGAAGACCTGGACTACCTCTTGTCTATGGTGTTTCTGCTATCTATGCGGAGTGACGTCGCGTGTATGTATGGAGTTCCGTGCGTGTTGGTTTGAGATGCCGATGGTTGACCATTTACAACAAAATAAAATAAATAGAATCAAATAAATCTACAGATTTACTAAAATGTTTGCGAGAAAAAAAAATTAAAAAAAATCAGGCTTGGAATTTACGGGAAATTGTCAATGAGGACATCCGTCGGTTGAATTGGAACGATAGGGAGAAGATTGCAATGCCCCCAGCTCCGCCCCCCCCTCCGCCTCCCTCCCCCCCGGGGATAGGTCCCACTTGCACGAATTAAGAGATACTGACCGTAGATAGCAAAGATCAACGGCCGAAATATCCTAATTTGCGCAAGGGGGACCTTGCGCCCGGTCGCAAACTGTGTATAATTGAGGATAAACCCAGCCAAAGCTGGAGTGAGGACAGTGGGTGCCACCCAAAAAAAAAAAGAAAAAAGAAAAAAAACATATTTGATGTTTATTCAAACAAACAGTCTCAAAAAAGAGAAAAGAAAATTTCGTGTTCCTAGTCTGCTAGAATTTTCTCTTTTTTTTTTTTTTTTTTTTTTTTAAAGAATTTCCCCTATTCCCACGTATGCATATATGCCAAAAAGTAAGTAGGATATGCATGTGCCAAAAACCAAAAAAGTTATTTAACAGCTAGGCTACCAGCCGGGCCGCCCGGGGGCCAGCCCGTGCAAGGACCAGGGAAGGTCCCAGCAAAAAAAAAAAAACAGAAAAAAAATCCTAGGCAAGTGACCCCGGGCCACTCTGGTAGCCTAGTTTAACAGTCTTTTCAATAGTTTGTCACAGCCCCTCGTTTGTTGTCCTCTTCTCTCTCTCTGCCTACGGTTTACCGGGCAGTTCTGTTTGTGACGATATATATATAACAGTCCCTCGTTTGTTGTCCTCTTCTCTCTCTCTGCCTACGGTTTACCGGGCAGTTCTGTTTGTGTCTGTCCTGAAGGGTGTCCAACATTTCCTCATTGTACACATCCCTATCACCCAGATATACGTTGTCCCTATTGTGCCCAAGGACGCTATCAGAACTGTATGATGCCGCACTGTGATGAACGTCCTGCCGTGTTTTTGACATGTGGACAACACGTCCTCTGTCAGGACTGTTTTGATGGGATGGTTCGTGCTAGCCGTCCTGCAGAATGCTTTGCTGGCGCAGCTCTCCTTGGGCATCCTTGTGAACATCCACATCATCCTCACCGTAGCTGTCCTATCTGCCGAGGTGGGGGCAGGTAAAGAAAAAAAGAAGAAAAGAAGAAGAGAAGAAAAGAAAAAAAGAAAAAAGAGAAAAAAAGAAAAAAAGAAAAAAGATACGTTGATCTGTGGGATGTGTTATTTGCTTTGTGATAATTGGATTATCTTTCTTTCCCTGTCAGGTTTGGTTTCCTCCTCCCCTTCTTTACCTCTTTGCCTTTTGGCTGCGTGCAAGTGGGTCCTTGTGACACACGGGGATGGGGGCAGCCAGCGCTCAACCTGTCATCCACGTGGCTGGCCTTGTACGTAAGAGGTTATGAACAGGTGGAGCTTTCCTTACCTCTTCCCCCGCCCCCTTTTTTCCTTTTCCTTTTTTCTTTCCCCTTTTTTGCGCTCTGATTCACAAGCTGACAATATATATAACAGTCTCTGACACGAAGAATGGTGAAATGGTCCTACATGGGGAAAAAAAAAACAAAAATAAAAACAAATAAAGATGGGAAAACTAGCGCGCAGTCCCGGTTTGAGTTTCAAAATGCATTCTAGGCAAAATGCTAAAAATGTTGAATGTTCCCAAGATGAGAAACATCACAAGTTCGTCAAAATCCAAGAGCAAAGACTCGAAGAGTCGCCAAGATGAAAACAACAACAGATGATACTTCCTTGAACATTCCAACGTTCCACACACCCCGTGACAACGTTCCACACACCCCGTGACCGCCGCACAATCCGACAAGCCCGCCTATGTCCGTTCCTACTTCAGTAGTCTCGCACATAGACCCAAAGAGGTCGAGACACTGTTGTGTAATCCTATTTATATTCACGCAGAATCCTACTAATCGCTGAAAAAGCTACCGAAAAAAGGGGGGGGTTAACGAAATCGTCTGGAGCACCCGGCCGACGGTTCGAAACCGTTAAACCGCACGCAAAAAAGAAAAAGAAAACGTGGTATCTGCTCCGGGTCAGGTGGACCGAGGTTCCGACATCACACCGCACTAGCAAAATGGAAAATTATTTATTATTTTCGTTTTCTTAAAGGATAACGGTTTTTATTTCTTGCAGGTTCTTTAAAGAAAATTTAAAGAAAAATGCACAGGTTCTTCTGACTGTTGTGTGAAACTTTGCAGCAGGAGTCCTGTCAGAAAACCCACGAGTCGCAATTAAAAAAAAAAAAAAAAAAAAAAAAGTTGCAGTCACGTCACAAATGTCACACAAGTGGATACTCTGCAAACACAGAAAAAAAAAAAAAAAGGCGCTCCCTGTTCTTTCTTGGCTTCCTAACTTACCTTAAGCTGCTTCTTTCAAATTTTGTGTCTACTCTCCTTCTTTTTTTTTTTTTTTTTTTTTTCCCTCCTTTCTTTTTTGCTTTTCCTTTGTGTGTGCAATCCGTCATGATCATGATCATGATCATGATCATGATCATGATGAGCAGGGTTTATACCACGCAAATTTTACAATCTGGACTCCGCATATGGAAGCGAACTGCAGTTAAGGAGCGTGGTGACCAGATTCAGAGAACGGGGAGTACTTGTGTGCGCAGATATTTCTGTCACCTACTTGCCTGCCGAAGGCGAAGCAAGCAATAGCAATAAAAACCCTGGTGGGCTTTGGGACAAGACAGAAGACCGGGCAGTCGATGTGAGTATTCACCAGCGGGGGAAATTGTTTTTTGTCAGATTGTCCTTTTTTTTTGTTTTGTTTTGTTTTGTTTTAGAGGATCGCTAGCAAATGCGCGATGCCCTCGTCTTCTTCTTCTTCTTCTTCTTCTTCTCTTCTTCTTCTTCTTCTTCTTCTTCTTCTTCTTCTTCATTCTCGTTCCTCCTCCTCCTCCTTCTCCTCCTCCTCCTCCTCCTCCTCCTCCTCTTTCTGCTCCTTCTCCTCCTACTCCCTCTCCGCCTCCTTCATTCTCGTTCCTCCTGCTCCTGCTCCTGCTCCTGCTCCTCCTCCTCCTCTTCCTTCTCCTTCTTCTTCTTCATTCTCGTTCTCCCTTCCCTCCCCTTCCTCCTCTTCTCTTCCTTTCTTCTTCTTCTTCTTCTTCTTCTGTGTTTGAGCTTAGTGATGGTGGTTTCTCTTCGTGCAGAAGCTGTGACGTTTTTTTTTTCTTTCCTTATTAGCATAAATGTATGGTGATTAGCCACACTTTCATTACTACTCCTCCTTTTAACTTCTTCTTCTTCTTCTTCTTCTTCTTCTTCTTCTTCTGGAGGACGTGGATAGCGATGGTGACGATTAGTTCTTGTTTGGTTGGTTGTGTGATGCGACATTGCGTGTATTTTGATTTTTGATTTTTGATTTATTTTTTTTTTGTGGTGTTGTGGTGGTGTACTTCGATTTTGGCTCAGGGGCCGTTGCGGCGTTATACAGAGCAGGGCTATGGTGATGGCGATGGTGACGGTGAATGTGCTGGGGGTACGTGCAGCAGCAATTGCACGGCCAGAAGATTGCCCATGTGGAGTCGGCCGTGCCGATGTGTGCCCTTTTCGATGAACCAGGTTCAGAAATGGCTCCTGTGGCTCAAGACCGATGTTGGATTCGATGTGAGTTGGCTTTTCGATAAAGACACCGAAAAAGGGGCGCGAGAGGGGGGGGGG